GAGATTTATGGCTAGCCTAACCCATTCGTCAATCGTAATGGTTACGTGTCACTCTGACCACGACAGAGTGTATAGACCATTTCATGGAGACTTCGGCGAACTTCGTAATTTGCTCGGAATTTCGATCAAGTGGCGGGTGGTCAACTGACCGCAATATCCAATCGATAGCTGGTAGGCAAATAGTCTGGTCCCCTGCTTAGTATGCTCCCTAGTATAGTATAGCGGAGTGCATCGCAGGGAGAATACTAAGCAGGGGACCAGACTAGTGGTCAAAACAAGGCAAACGCATCAGCATTAGCGTCAACTGTTCCAAATACTTCAGCTTCGTTTATAGAGTTGAAAAATGCCTATTCAACAGTGATGATGCCACATATATTGACGAAATTTAATATTGGAACCATCCTGTCTTGTTTTCTGAATTTTATAGCCATACGAGAGAGTAGCTATGAGCTGTTTACCTCTGAACATGCACATGCGAGTATGGAAACGGTATCGATGTTACAAATGTAATCCCTTTTTTTACCATAAGTCGAGTTTCGTTTACCAATAAAATAAATTTTTCGTATTAATCCGCAGTATAACAAACCTGGAATATTTTTCGATGGTAAAGCTGCAAAAGTCCCAGGCATTTAGCAGGCAGGTAGCGAGATTTCTTAATTTGTTTTATAATCTGATACGTCTAAACAACAATGTATGCTATTTTGTTATGTACAGATGCCTACCAGCGTTTGATTGGTTGGAGTATAAAGTGACTCGGGAGGTTTTTCGGATAATTACGGAGCAACTCGGTTAAATCCGGTATGAAATGGGCTATTGTGAACTTATCTTCACAATTTTGCATCATTATACTGTCTCAAAGTATATGGTGCTGAAAATATCCATATTTGTTTACAAATATTTGTTAAAATAAATTTATTCCACGAGCGCCTGTAATTGTATCTCGTTTACTTTTTAAGAAATACATGTCAGTCTGAAGCTCTGCCGTTACTCAAAGTTACATTTTAACTCAAAATTTAAGTATTATTGCTGTTTAGGTGTTTTATATTTCAAAACCCTCTGAGGGATAAAGTTAACATTTTTAAAGATAACATTTACCCGCTGCTGTCGCAAAATTCTGATTCAAATATGAGAGATGTCAGTGCTCATTTTGATAAACTTGGAGCAAATTATTACGTTTCTTGCTGCATATTTAACAATGATCATACCAGAAATTAGTACGAATATTAGTACCTTAGTCCTACCTTGTGCTACGACATCGTAGCTAACCCGAAATAAGTACCCCTAGTTGTCTTCATGCCTGTATAGACGTACTGACGTTTTAAATGCTGGTTTAAATGTACGTACATTTTATAAGCTTTCTAGCCAGTCAATGAAAAGGTCATTATCAATGCAGTAGATTCATCAAAAAACATGTCAAACAGATTATGTAGACATTCGAAACCGACTGTTTCAGCAATATACTTGTTTAAAAAAATTTTTTCGCATAGATTTTACTTGCAATGATTCCCTTTAATTCAATCTAATAATAATCGATGTCACTTTACGTGGACAATTTTGCTCAAAGTCAGGTTAAAGGTGAAATATACTGGATCGAATGGCGGTCGATGTCATGTCACAATGAAAGCTGCGCGTGTTGACCAAATATTTTCGTACGCTGTTATTTGTTATAATTAGACCCGACCACCCATTTTCTGGACCTAGTTAGGTGCTGGTTGCTAATGCAAAATGTCTACAGCGATCAAGAATTTTCGTCTAAAAGTCTTGTATTAACAGAAAAGGTCCTGAACATTCAAATATCAGGATTGTATAGACTTCTAATAAACTAAAGTAGTATTAAAATTTAGAAATAAAACAATCTTTAATTTAGGATGAGAAAATGCGTCTATACGACCGTGCTGACATACACTTTACAAACCTTCCGGCAGAGACAGAATTGCTAAGGCATAAATATTCCAATATTGTTGCTGCGTCTGTTTTCTCCTTGTGACATGTAATAAGGCATTCCTATTTTCTGGTATATTTCTTTGTCCAGGATGTTAGTAATTTAACAAAAATGATTTTGATGTCATCCTGTTATCCCTCTGGAACAACCTGTAGGTCAATAACAACGAAATAATTAAACTGCTTTGTTTCCAAGGCAACGTATGACTAGATTCAGGACCAGCATATCTATTAAAGGAATTTATTAAGTTTAGGTAAAGGAATATGTTTAGATGCCGTATGTATCGTAAAGGAATAGACTGAGATCCCGTGTATATAGTAAAGAATCAATAAAGATAATTTGTGTAGCAAGCACGGCTAATTATAGATAATGAATCAGGGATCAGCTAGTTTTATCCAGTCTGCAGCTGTTGTCTTCCTAGCAGTCTGTATACATAACGGTTATCGATGTATTCTTTCCACTAGTCTGTTCGAAGAGCATTGGATCAACGTCAATATAACGGTTATCGATGTATTCTTTCCACTTGTCTGTTCGAAGAGCATTGGATCAACGTCAGTAGGGAACGGAATTAAGCAAATCGACCATCCTTGGTAAGCAAAAGTGGAATTCCAGGAAGAATGTAATTAAAAATTTGAAAAACACGAACCTATGATCGGTTGGACATTTTCCCAACGTTTCTAAGAAAGTTCCTGACGTGCAATGCTTGGAAAGCCAAAGTAGGAGTGGATGCAAAAGTTTATAACTGTTCATTAATTGCTGTTTGTTAAATGCATCCAATCCAGAGAGGCGAGTTATCTTACATAATGCATTGCACCGCCCAACCCCTGCGTGAGAACATGCCAGTTGGTGGGCTTATATTTGAAGCTATGACAAATCGGTACTCGGTACTGAGTTAAAATACGAAACAACGGATTCAACGTGTTGCTAATTTTACTTCATACATTTATTATGAACAAAATTCCATAGTTTGGTCGCTTTTTTTAGTTTTATTCATTATTTCCATAAATTAGGGTGTGTGTATGATTTGAATTTTTAACGTAGCTTATCAATTTTGCAATGTCTGCAGTGTGACAAGTTTATAGTGATATCTAGCACTGGGGAATCATGCCGCAGACGTGTAGCATGATGTCCCACCCAGTCACAATATTCTGACACCAGGCCGAACAGTCCTAACACTAACCTCTTTACGCTGAGCGTCAAGCGAGGCAGCTGTTAGTACCATTTTTGTCTTTGGTATCACTCAGCCGGGGATCGAACCCACGATCACCTTGCTTGTACATACCAGCCCATATTCCAGCACGACTAAGCACGGATAACCAAAAACTGATGCAATCGTGCGTAGCAGACACTCGCATGATTCATACCGGATTTAGGCATGAGCTAAAAAAGATACAGTTTAGGGCCTCAAAGTCTGAAATCTGAAGGGGCCCCTCAAATTTATTTTGTACCAAATATGGCCTCAATAGCTTCCCATAGCTTAGTGTCTCGCTTTGTCTAAATCCGGCACTGCGCATGACGACCTAGTAATTAATCATCACAATATGAAGTGTATTTTATATCACCCCAAACCCTTGGCTTCTCAGGGTCTGTTTTTTTTTTTTTCTTCTTTTTTTCGAAATGTCTATAAAAAAGACACATGGCTTCCATTTCCTCGGCATAATAAAATCCACCATCGTGGTAAAAATGGCATTAAAATACAAATTCTTCTTCTTACGACAGCGGTAGATTACTGCTATTTATTCAGCTTCTTATTGTGTAAAGATTCCGCTTCAACATAGTATTTAAACAGGCCAGTTTAGCAAGCATATAAGAAGGGATTTTCCTATCGTCATTGTGTTAATACTAATCAAGATTATGTATAGCATATGTGTAAGTTTTGAAATGCATACCGAACACGCACTAGTTGTTTCGTCTCAAATTTATGCCACCTTCACGTTCAGTATCCGGGACCTGTTTATTATTGATGTGAATGTGACCCAGTTTTAAGAACCTCTTCTTCCATGATGTAAATATATGTTAAAAATGCTAATATTTATGCCAGTTCGTCGTATTTAGGTCAAGTCAATTTAATGGTCTATCGATATAAATCAAGAGTACGTTTGAAGGTCTACCTCACGGACTTGTTACTTTCTTTTAAAAGAGCACTGTATAAATCCGGTCTGGATCTCTAAATCACTGAATGCGTACGTGCAGCACTAAAACTCATGAATGCTTTGCATATAAATTATACAAATATATAATCAATAAATGATATTAAATACTGACGTAAACAAACACGCATCGTTTCGTAATTCCTTCCTAAGACAGCATCATGAATAGCCTAATCGTCCACAGTCATCCGTTGTACAGACATTACCCCCTCCACCACCGCCTCTTTTTCCTTTTCTTTTTGCATAATTAAACGAGACTAAAGACCATTTGCGATGGTTGTCTTCTACCGGGACGGTAAGGTACTAGCAGTAGTGTAATATCACATTTGACCGACAACGCCAAGGGCTTTACATAGGCGGTAGTTGATCACTTCGTTCCCTCGAATACAGCCGTCGTTATTTGTCTACAGCCACAATATATTTGATTCTCTTCGACGACTTTTATATACGACAGGCATGTTATACTGGTACACACAAATATAAAAAAATACTATGCACGGCACACACCCTAGAGAAAGTTGCACATGTCTGATATAAGGTACATACTATTGGAAGCTACCGTACAGACCAGTCAAGGTCGTCTAGCGTAGTATTTGTTGCCTTTTGGAATCGCTAAGCAAACGATGTCGGCAAATGACAAAGACGTTGTCTGTGTGCGATTTGGATTTTTAACGTAGCTTTAACAATTTTTAGGTCATATTACTACGATATCCGCAGTGTAGCAGTTTATAGTGATGTCTAGCACTGGGGCATCATGCCCCAGACACATTGCATTATGCCGCAGACATGGAGCATCATGTCCACCCAGTTACTTTTTCCTGACACAAGGCCGACAGTCTTAACACCAAACTCTTAGTGCTGAGCGCTTATCGAGACAGCTGTTAGTAGCATTTTCATAAGTCTTTGGAATAACTCAGCCGGGGTTTGAACCCACGTCTTCCTTCATCAGAGGAGGACGCTCTAACCACTTAGCATAAAAGTTAAAATAAATGCACGTCTGTTATTACAGAAGTATGATGTAGTAGATATCTTCTGCCTTGAAGTTTGATGGGTTTTTATCAAAGTAGCCAACTTGTTAAAAACGGGGTAAAAAAAAGCCTCGAAAAATATATCTGGAAACTTTCACCACTTTAAGCACAATCACGTGTATTGTCTAATTTCCATCAGCAGTGACATTTGTGCAAACTGCGAGTACACTCCGCATACACATTTATGGAGATTATGAAGTCTACAGTGCGAACTTTGGTATCGCTATCAATTATCGCTATTTGTGTCCTTGATTTTAATCGTTCAATCAGACTATCGCAAGACTCTAAACGATTAACACTAACTGACACTCTGCATCATCGCTGCTAAGTATGTTATGAGCCTGGCAAACCAGTTTCTACGACTTGGCTCTGATATTTTGTTCTTTTGTGTAACTATATGGCTTGATAGTGTTGAATTGTGTAGAAATCTACATAAAAAGTGTATTATCATATTTTTTTGCAAAACGTAAACTTGCGCGTGCTTATTTCCACATTTCCTTTCTCAGATCATCAAATTGGAAGGTATACCAGAAGTTGATGAAGATTGTGCCGAGAGATTTGAATTTTTGAGTATCATGAAAGCCATGTTGCGTGAGGATCTTTGACTGTAAACTATCATCTATTCGCAAGAAAACAATCTTCAAAATATCCCTTGACCACACCCCTTCCCGGAAATATTGGCTCTGAAAATCGATCTAGATCTTCTGCATATTCCTACAAATTTGCCTACCAATTATAGTATGGTTACCAAGGGCTTGTGCAAGGGTATTTGGCGCCCTACATGAACCTTCAATCTTCTTTCGCGCCTCCCCTCTCATTAATACACGTTAGGCTTAGTAATTTATTAATTCCATTATACAATCTACATATTTAATGATAATAAATTAAAAATCTAACATTGTCCGCTTGGTTCTCCTAGCGGTCAAGCCTGTCTAGTGATTTTCTTATGTTTTTTTTGTGCTTACTAACAATTATCAGTCTTCTTTTTTAATACAAAACAAGTATAAAAAAAATTACAATAAAGAAGACGTTTTCAATATTGTTGAAATTTAATCAGGTCATCTACATATAAATGTAGTCATGCCTGCAAACTTTCATTTTTTCAAGTCACATGGGTTTTGCTTTATCGTGTTAGCATGATTTCCTGTGAATAAATGTAAGTTCAAAAATTAAAAAAAAATTACAAAATAAAAAATGAAAAGCCTTGCTGCTGTGGTCTTATTTCTTCTTATTGTGATCATGACATAGTGTGTACAATATAATAGTACTTGCATTAATAGCGCATGTCATGGCATTAAAATTGATTGGGAACTTACGTACGGATGGACAGCAGTACTGTCATGTGCTCCGTTCTGGTATCCTGGTGGAGCGATATAAATATAAAACGGTTACTAAAAGAACGATTTCATGCAAAGCAAACAAAGACTTTAGCAAAGAAGAGCGGGTATTTATTGTCCCTTATGATATTATCTGGCAATTACGATTTTTGCAATTATGTACGTAAATCGCATTATCTTGGGGGGAAAATTGCATCGAATTTCAAGATTACGCTGGAAAGTAACATTAGAAAAGATGGAAATAAACAATATCATATCTATCTTACAGTCGGAAACTGAATTATATGTTTCCGTACACGTGTATCTTTAAAGAGAAATAAAATTCAAGCAAACTAGACTTTCTTCACTTGCGTCCCCTACTAATTTTGAGTTTACTGTCACCGTTTTTTGTGATTGTCTTGTTCTTCTTCATCATCGTTTTTTTTTTCTTTTGCTATTGTTTCTTTGGCTTTCAATGATAATATAGAAAAACATCACTCCCCAAAACAAACAAACAACAAAACAAAACAACAATAAAACCAAACACAAACAAAAAAGCAGGTACAATTGTAAAGTCAAGGTGGAATTTTAATTCATTATTTATCCACAAAGCTCAAATAAAGATATTAAATGAATCGGAACACTTTGAAACGTTCTCCATGGCCTAACTCCATCCACGTTTGTTCCTTTTGGGTGAAAAAGAACACGGTACGCTCGAAAAGAAACTTGTAATTATTTACACCGTTACTATTCATTCTTTTTTTTACTTCATAATCAGATTAACAGATGCAGAGATTACAAACAAGACATAAGAAAAGATAAATCACATGTAAATAACGTACAAATATGCAGATGTTATCTTCAATGACTGAATAGTAAAAGGAAATAAACAAGTGTTACCAGTGACCAATAGATATCGGGCTCATCATCACTCACATGAATACTCTCTACACATTGAAACAAACCAGAAAAAAAGAATACAGCAAAAAAGGCTGCATAAACAATTAACTTTGTCGGTTAAATAATGTAGAGTTTAGGTATACAATATGAAAGTTTACATCTAGCGTAAATTAAGACCCAATCTGATTAAAAGATTCTTGCATTTTTTTTCCCCTGTATTAATTGACCTTACGCCATACAATAGATCGCTCCGCCTACCAAATCATGTGACATAATCTCCGACAAACAGTACTTGGCAAAAGAAATGTTTCAGTTTACAAGTTATGTTTATATAATGTGATTTGTATTATTCTTAAAAATATAAAATTACAAAGTTGCATTGCCTATACTGCAGTAGACAACATTTATGTATGTAGTTCCAGTTCGTACATTAATAACCTAAGTGTTTCATTTCAGTAAATAATAACAATCAATTGTTAAGCTGTTTAAAAATTTATTCATATGAAAAGAAATTTGCCCCCCAAAATGCTGATATATTTAACATATAATGTTATCCTTGTTAATAGCATATACTGTTATCCTTGTTAATTGTATATGATTTATGTTTATGATGCCTTGGAAGTATATAAATTAAAAATTAATAACAGAATCGTAAATAATTACAGTTTCAGAATTATACTGTTGCACATAATAATCGTAAGGTCTGCTATGTTAGCAAGGTGGAATTCTGATCAATGATGTCTGATGATGTAAACATGCAATAGGTCCACATACACACAACATTCCTAAACAATGTATAATATTTATGCTGTGTTCTGTTCATAGAACTAAATAAACCACCGTAGCTCTGTGGAGTCTTCGACATCTAATCAATGGGACGCAGTTTCGATACATCGATGTGTCATTGGGAAATGCACTCAGCTCTGATTCCTCTTCATATCTGCATAATATAGCCTATACTGTTTATAGGGTCGATAAAACAAAAACCAAACCTCATGCTAAATACATTATTTAGAAAAAATGCCAATCGCACCACATCCATACAAATAATAATAATAATAATAATAATAATAATAATAATAATAATAATAATAATAATAATAATAACGTATATTATTAGTATGGTTTCTATTGTTGCTGTTATTATTGTAATAATAGTAATAATAATAATAATAATAATAATAATTATTATTATTATTATTATTATTATTATTATTATTATTATTATTATTATTAAAAGAATAGTATCAGTAGTAGTGGTGGTTCTATTTGTTGTCAATCATCTTTTTGCCAGACAAGGATAATTTGAGGCTCATAAACAGACATTACTATTAAAAAGAGAATATATTACTTACTCCCATTTACGTACCACGTCTAAAATTATGAACTGGTCTGGTCTTATCTATGGCCTGGACTGTGCACACAAAATACACAGTTTACAGGTTTACATTCCAAAGTGAACTCAGGTCTGTTTCAATTATTTTACCGGTGTGACGCTATATTATTATTTTAAGGGGTCGGGGTGACCGAATGGTCTAAGGGTCGTAACTTTACAATTCACTCACACCTCACCTCTCAAACTAGTTCTAATTCCGGCTCTGCTAATTAATGTGCGTGTTCTGAAAAGCCTGCCAGTGGCTTCTTGTGGGTCCGTGTTTCTTCTCGTGGTCTTCGTCAATCATTAATACTGGCCGACACAATCTGATTAAAATCAGATTGCTGGCTGACACGAATAGTCTATAATGTGCTGAATTTTTTTTTTTAGATAAAACCACACATAATGAATACATTTTGCTCTGTATGATGTACTTCCTCTTTGCTATACATAAACCGGTGCAACTTTGGGATACACATCCAAATCACAAATCCTGTACAAATGTTTAAAATACCTTATAATTATATTTACTAGTCTTAATTTTAGGCTAACACATGTTATTCATGCAGAATCAACTTTATAATAGGTACGAATCACAAAGGGAAGAAATAAGAAAGGAATAATTTATTCCTAACACCGCTATACCACACTTCATCTATTTACTCACTAACCTTGAGGTAGCTGACCCTAACCCTGCACTTTTCAATTTTTCATTTTCTATTAAAGATAAAACATACCAAGCCAACAACATCATCGCATTTATTCCACGTAGGACTAACAAATTATTCTGAGCAGACAGCAAGGCCATTATATACTCCGGCTTGCAGAATTTTGCTTTAGTCGGAAAAGTTCTTTGTTTTATTAACGTAACCATGTACCTTACCTGCCAACTAACTAGGCTAATATATGAAAATACAAATGATGTCATGTCGGCTGAGCCAATCAAAAACCATGATAAGTTCACTCCCCTAAGTCGAGCGCATAGGTCATCCGCACAATCAGCTGTTTGTTGCGGCTTTTAGTCGGAGTCGCGAACAATGAGGGATTCACTACGGCTGGAATTTATACCCAAATTTCACTATTTAGTGTAAACTCAGACGGAGTTGAAGCAACTGTAGTGGAGGGTATGTATTCGTTTTCACTACTTCAATCTTTAAAATTGATGGACCACTCGTTTTAGAGTGAAGTTTTCAAGAGTAAGATCGCGTTGGCTCGTCAGCTGATCTTTCCGGCTAACGGCGAATTTTAGAACTTATCTAGGCCAGTGTAAATTTCATTTTGTTTGAAAGCGGTTATATTATTAGGCTATATTCATTGAATATTTCGAATGAGGTTAATATTTGGAGGTGTTATTGGTTTATTTT